TCCTAGAAATGAAACATTCGTCCAGGGTCTTTCAGTGTCGTCCAAAAAACAAAAAATGCCCTTTGTAACCCCTTGCCCTACAATGACTTGTCTGAGCTCGCAACTTCTTATTAAAATCAATTTTTACATTCACGGGATATTTGTAAAACAGATCTAAACAAAATTAAATAGCATACGATCGAAAAATTATTTAAATCGTACGTCAAGGGGTTAAACAACGTACCATACAATTTTCACGATACCAAGAATTGATAAACGATGGAAACGTTTCGAAGCCTATATCTCTGAAACTATTATTTATATCTCCCTAAAAAAATTCACGTACCTCGGAAAACTACGTGTAAATAACAGCGCGGAGCGTCGAGCGGATATCTCGAACAGCTTTTCTTTAATAAAATTCCACGCATACCCAGGTTTTTTCGCGTCCGCGCCCAACTACCCCTTAAGGGTGGATTCGAAAACACGTTACGCGAGTTCGCGTCGAACGAAAGTGTCCCATATATTTTGTTCGCCGTAGGAGAGGAGTCACTTTCGCCTTCCCGAGCCACTCCAGCTACCGGTTGGAATTTTTTACCATCCATGATGTATCTCCACTCGCGCGATTCGAGCCGGGCTCTTAGGCTCGATGCGTTTCGAGAATTTTTCAGGCCCTTCGCGAACGAAGGGAGAACGTTCCCGTTAAATCTCCGCGAGTGGATGGTTCTCGGCCACGGCGAATGTCATTTTTCTCACGCGATGCCGACGCCATCGATATAGCAGACTCGCGCGATGCGGCAAACAAAACGGCCACGTCAGCCGTGGTCCACTTTACAGAGGGTGAATTCTCTTAACCTACCCCTATCGCCCGGCCCGCGAATCCTCTTAACGCGGTAAACCGTATCTTCCGGTCCATCGATTCTCCTCGAAACCGAATCTGCCGTTTCTCACCTACGCTGCTTCGATGGACGCTCATTTCCAACTGTTATCTTACTGTTATACTTTAGAATTCTTCCAAATAAACAAGACTGGTAAGTATAATTGATCTCGTGGAGATTTGGTGCTTAATAAGAGACGCAGGTAGCAACTGCACCCGATCAGCTGAGTCATTGAGGGTGAGATTAGGGCAGAGGGGCGTCCATTAAGGGTTCGTGACTCGGTCTAAGCAAGTACGTGATGGTGGAGCAGCGAGCTACCGAGGACAGATCGTTTCTCGATGAACCCCCCAATTCGTTACACGCTAATTGCGGAATGAAAACCGAGAAGCTCGTCGAGATCCGTATTCTCCGACCTAATAGAAATCTCTGTTCGTTTTGTGCGAGGGCCGCTCCCCTGTCAAACGATCTCCTGGCCGAAGAACGTATTTATCTTGCTCACGGCCGTTATTTCGTTCGTCCCGCTCGACAAGACCGGACGATTTTCCTTCGACGAGCCTCGGTGCACGAACCACCCAATCATTTTTCCAATCGATTTCCCGATCATTCGTACGAACGAACGCTCGTTTCGGGGAAATGGCTGACGGGACCGAGATCCTTCAGAGGAAAAGAATAAACGAGCCACTTGCGGGACCGATGAAAATTTCCGCCCGTGCATCCTGCCCCCCCGGTGCCTCCGGAATCCATCGAATTCCGGGGCAAATTTCGCGGAGAACTTTTACAAATGGCAGGCGAAGTCGTTCGATTAACGCCGACGACTTGGATTAATTGCGATCCACCGGGGCTCTATTCTTTCCTTTCACGATTCTTTAAGAATTCTGCTAGTGCATTTTAGAGTGCCTCGCTTGTTGCGCCAATTCTGCATTAGGGATACTTGCAACGAATCGAAACGCGTACTGGCTTTTCTACGAATTCGATTCTGTTTTTTCGTGAATTTATATACTATTAACGCGAAGGATAACAATGTTTATAACGTGTTTATTAATGATCTACTAACTAAAAATTTGGAACGGACAATTCGTATCTTCCGTGACTATCATTGTAATATTTTAGAAAGGGTAAAAATCTTGGCTGACGCAGCGAGGAATCGGACGTCGTCCCGACGTCCATCGATCCGTCTGCGACTGGTTTTAAGTAATTTAACAGAGGCGGACCTGGACGCATAAACAAACACGTGAGCTCATTGCGCGTCGATTGAATATTCATGCCACCGGTCGTATTTACATTTCGTCCGGGATTATCATATCCGCGGACTCCGGGGTTGAAACGCGCCGCGATCCCGACTGCCACGGAGAGCTCAGGGTTCGGTTGCTCAAGAAAATTCGACGGAATTACCCTCCCGGGACGGAGCCCGTAGAAGAGGATCGAAAAAGGGAGAGACTCCGTGAACGCGAAATGGTATTGGGCCGAATGGCCTCGCGAGACTCTGCTTGCCAATGTTTACCCTGTATTTTTTTTTTTCCTTCCCGTACACCCCTCGTTTTCATTAATTATCCGGGGATAAATACGACCCGATTGATCCCTGCTCGCGCGCGTACGCCGTTTTCTGCGAAAACCGGAGGGGTTGCAATTCACGTGGAAAGCCACCCGACGATTTGCTTGAAAAGTTTTTTTTGTAACCCCTGCAGCATACGAAATAACATCGGTTATCGGCTCACCCTTGAAACTCCGGACCTCGGTTCGACCCTAATTCCCTGTGTTTCGTCGAAATCAATGAACGCTTCGCGAGCGTAGCTCGTTAAATTCATGGTCTATTCCGACAGCGCCTGAATGAAATCGAGGCGTATATCGACTACGTTGACTCGGACATACGAGCCATTCATAGTGTCCAAGTACTCGAACGACACGTAACTTTTTATATTTAAAATGAATTTCCTCGATGATTAAACTCTTTCAAAAAGAGGGACGAAATTGGTAGGAAAAATTACATACGACTCGACCCCAAATGAGACATTTCCACGCTCGCCTCGCCATATGCACCCCCCCTCGAAAACGGTCGCGTATTTTACAGTGGCGCGAACAGAGACGACCCCCACGGTTCTATCGTAGGAAATCCCGCAAAGGACGAATTATAGGCGGCGGCAGAATGTTACTTTGATCCAGCGTTTAGTCGAAGTCAGTGGGGGCAACCGAGCAGAAATGAACTCGCGATAATGATATACGCAGTACGTAAAACGCGCCCCGAATACAGGATCCAACCCCTCTGTTCCCCCCCGCGGGGACGCAGGAAACTTCGCATCGACGTTGCGTCGCGGAGGGGTTGATCCTGGCGGCCATGTTCGTCGCTGAAAATTTCGCGCTCGCCCCTCACCCCTGCCGATAACAGCTTGCGCGACAAGTGAACTAACAAAGGGGAGTCAATCTGCCCGTTCTACGCACTTTTCGAGACTCGGTCATTTTTAAATTCTACACAATTATTTATTTATTTCCGTGGACTAGGGTACTAAAAATCTCCGTACCTTTTGGTATAATATTCTTTGGTCAAAATAAAATTATAAAGTACACAGGGTTAAATTACTAAAGATTTTGCGAAGGGAAATTTCAATCCTTCGAACAAAGAGAAAATTTAAATCGATGTATCAAGAATGATGTATCAGTTCTTAAAATTGAATTCCTAGAGTCTGTGGATGTTATAAAACTGTGGATTGTTAATAATCTCCCGTCTCGTGGGAAGGGGTCTTGGGTAAAAAAGAAAGTTTAACCCTTAGATACCGAAGCTCCGCAAATCTGCATAAAGACCGAGGCGGGGTCACTAGGGTCCCCCACGAATTCCTCCGAAATTTAGCATTCCAGACGTACCCAAAATACTTAAAACAACACCGAGACCTTTATCGAACGTTTCTGCTAAATATTCTTCGATTGTAAAACTCGGACGATATTAAAACAAGTCGAAAGACTGGTAGGAACGTTGGCGGGAGCGTACAATATTCAGCGGGATTTCGAAGGGGATGTTACGAGAATGAAGAGAAAGTTTTTCAAAAAATCCAAGTCATATACCACGATACCGAGGCGTATAAAATATTTCTCTATGTTGAATCAACCATCCAGGAACCGTCGATGATTTCGCGACAGCTTCGCTAGCTGTTTGCACACCCCCCGTAAATTGTGCACCGTCGACGGAATGTTGGGCGTACATCGATGGATAAAAAACAGGAAAAAGAAGATCAAGGTCACAGGGTGGAGAAGCGAGCGCACGTGCGGGAGTGGCGCGCATTTCCAGGACGATGCGGTCGTACGGATGGGGCGGTTGAATGCAGGGGAGCCCCGGCGGCCATGTCGGTTTCCAATTAAACAAATGCCTGGTAGGAACTCGAGCAACCCCTCGGGCATAGGCGGCTCATTTCCACCCCGCGAGTTCTTCTCTGTTCGCCAGTACAAGGGGAATCGGTACAAGCGCACGTGTCGAGCAGCATGCGAAATTTGAGTCGGGTCCGCCATAACGCGCGGCTATGCTCGACCGGAGATGGCCAAAATTCGAATCTGGAAAATCATTGTCGCTTATCCACCGAAAAGAAAGCTCCTCAAAACTTACTCGAATAGTCAATGGCAAGTGACCGTGTATGTATCGTTTTATAGAAATGGTTCATCCCTGAAAGTCGAATCGAAAAACGATCGTCATCGACGTATCTGTTCGCGAAGCGTCCGTGCAGGAATCGAAACGGCCAAGAACAAGAGCGTGTCGCGATGCGATAAACTTTTATCGGCGATGACCTTATCAGAAAACTTTTTTCTCCACGGGAGAAGTTCATCGTAATCTCGGAACGTTCCGTGAGGCCGGGGGAAAGGAAACCGGGAAACGGACGAACGATGGAGGCCTCAGCACTTTCGACTTCGATGTGGATTACATTACGGGTCCAAATATTGGAACGCCACTTCTGCGGCCGGTCAAATTGTTTGACTTGCCGATTGTTCGGCTCGTCGATTCCGTACAGCGTAGTCTGGCTCGTCAGCAGCCGGACAACGACCGGATCGATCCCACGAATCTCGAAAACAAATGATTCAAATCTGACTTTAGTTGCCCGTGTGAAAACTGGTACGCATATTTTAACACCTAATGCGATAACGAGTCGAGAAAACAGAAACCAAATATTTGTTAAATATTGCAGTAATTTTATTTTATTTGCGTAATAACGCGTCGATCGCGGATCGATCGAAACGCGTGTTCAGCGAACTTGTATCGTTGATTAACGCAACGCGAGCTTCATGCACGGGCGTTATCTGTATTTCCAGCGATAGAGGTCGGGGTTACATTTACAATACGATTATGTTAGTGCTATATGTTCATGGAGATCGATTACTAATGCATTGAGAAGAGCCGAGACCGTGACCATACATTACAACTTTTGTTGGAACACATTTTTATGGGGATGCAATTTCCATTGCAGTCCCTGGCGTAGCCCTCTTTGCAATAACAGGCATCGTTGCATCTCTGCGAACAGAAATTCGACGAAAAGTCGCGTCATACTCGAGATTAAAGAAATTCTTTCGTTAGACTCACGATGTTAACGATGGGACACGGTTGACCCAGGTTCTGGCAAGTGGTTTGGCACGCAGATCCACATTGGTACTCCTCGTTCGGTCTGTTGCAGACAAGCTCATGACCGAACGTACCTAAAACACATCGAATTTCAGCGCACTATTACAGATTCGAACCTCCTGTTTCACGAGAAAAGATCACAATAACCGATTCACTCGAACGATCGATCGTTCACGGGAATACCTACTTGAGGAAAATATCGCCATAGCGAGGAACAACGTGAAAATAATTCGCAGCATTTTGACAGAACGTTTGATGGCCTTGTTTGCACTTGAACTGCCATGTAAGCGCCACAATAACAGTTTTATATACGTCGCATAAACGGTTTTTCCGCAATAGATCGGTTGATAAATACTGCCTGGTAGTATTCAAGGCTATTACGTATTAGTGTGACTCCCCTTTTTCCTCTTTTCCTCCTTTCTTACATTGGCAACTAGTGCAACTCGTCGATCATGCGCCGTCGTGGAAAATTATTTTCATTTTCAAAACATCGTGTTACACAACTGTATAACTGCATCGCAAATCATATGTTCGCGATGTGAAACTCACGTGACTCTTTCCGTTAATTATAGCAAACAATGTATGGTACCGAATTCGAAAACATGTTCAAATATGATAACATTTCAAATAAGATAACATTTCCTTCGAGGTCGAAACTGTTAAATAATGATAAAAAAAAATTACAAACCAACCCTGTTAATATTTTGCTAACGTTCTTCATGGTTCGATCGAAAGTTGCAAAGAATGCAATGAGCAAATAAATCACAATGGCAACCTTCCTTTAGCAATAAATCTAATTATTCCCAACGACATTAAGTTATTGGATTCAATCGACAAGACCTTGCGTGCAGCGTTCTGTGATTTGAGATCATCTCGCGGCCCTGGTCTCTTTTGCGTCATCTTTTTGCTTTGTTATTCGTTTGGTGAACAATTTATCAAAAGGTACGGTCAAGCGAGCATCACGAACGAACACATTCGTATAAAGTCATGTTCCGTCGAGCAAATATGAAAATGTCAAACGACCAAACTTTTCACTTAATCGAAGAATAGAAAATGGCCCAGTTAGAAAATTAATCGATTCAAAAATGATTTTAGAACACGAATATTCGTATTCGCTGTTTGTTCGCCGTCAGTATGGAAATAGATCTCTGATTCGAGATACGTCAAATTGATGGGGCGTCACCAGTTGGATATTAACAGTATTTCCTGGTCGAAAGAACGAGGATGGGATAATTAAAAATGGCTGTCAAACCTGTTTCGTCTGGCTTTCGGGATATCCCCAAAATCGTCTAACTTGCACGGCTGTCGACTTATGAAATACACCAGAAGGACATTTGAATACTATTGCAGGCTGTTAAAACAATACTGTCCACGCACATCAGCGATACTTGGAAACGCAAATGCGAGAAGGCCTGCGGAAATTTTGTTACGAATACTGTTCCCCGCCATTCGAATGGTAGCGGGGAATTCCGTTTGGCACGTGTCACTGTTTACTCTAATCTATCATTCGGAAAGATGCATTCACCGCGTATATAACGATCAAATTCTACGAAGACTGAGTTAATTAGTATTAGAAGTTTAACGAGACCTCTGCTCAAAAAAGTAATGATTTGCTATTGATTTTTTAATCGCCTTGTTTGATACCGCCTATATAAATAGTAGTGACTTTGTAAACGATTATGTATTACCACAGCCGAGGTATACGAGTAGATCTTTCAAAATTCTAAAAATTACTTTCAAAAAACTAGCCTAGCGAAGAAGCTCTATATTTATGATGACCTATGCAAGGCGGATCGCAGCCAATTTGCTAATATTATTTAGTTTTTAATTAATAATTGCATTACCCAACTAAAAGTGATACGATTATTAATTAAACGCTAAATAATATTACCCAGGTCTCACCACGTGGAGGTTGCTGCGAATGGAGACCCGCCCTAACCGATTCCCAACCACCCTCCATTAGTAAAGATCTTTTGTGACCAGCGATCGTTCGTCGAAAAAGCAATAAACGAAAGTGCAAGCAACGAAGGAAACAACCAACGAAAGAGTTTTTTGAGAAAGAATTTGCCTTTAAATTCTCATCAACAAAACAGAGAAATAGACTCCTGCTTAACTATAAATCTAAATTCATTTTCATCCTACCTATCTAATCATCTAACAAAATACATCGAAAATATATTCTTCCTTGTTGATCCTTCGACGAAGATTTCCTGAAACATACTGTTACATTCTACCTAACTATAAATCTAAATTATTAAAACATAAACTAAGCAATCTGAAACAAAATACATGAAATACATTCTTCTTTCTTCTATCTTCTATTTATCCCACGATGATTTCCTGAAACACAAACAAAGCAATATCAAACAAAATTGTATCAATTCTTAATTTTTACCTCTATAAACCTGAAACTTCCATAGGAATATGCTCTGTAACAGAAACTTGTTTAATAGATTCGTAAAAGAACAAACAAAACAAAACAAGTAAAACTACAAATACTACAACTACAGGCAAGTGCAGTGAGAAAGTAAAAATAGTACATAATATACGAGGTTACTTTGACTCTAAAATGTATTCGTCGCGAAATATCTTCTTGCACGTCAATCTAATGATATATTTTAATAAGTAAAGAAAGACATTGGGTATGTTCGATATCGAAGATACCCAAAGTCGTCAACTGAATTATGAAAGTGAATTTAATTATTGAAGAATGTAAAGAACAATCGGAAGCTACTAATTTGACACTCATTCTAAAATTAATATAATTATAAGTATTATAAAAGATATTAAAATCATGACTCTACTTTCGATCGATATTACGATATTTGTCATATTAAATATTGCGGCGTGTAAAAACATCGCACGCTTAAATAAAACGCGACGCGACACGTGCTCATAAGCGTGCAGTGAGTGTGGGTATCAGATTGATCCCCCCCGGCCTTGATTATCAGAAAAGCAAGTCGCGCCCCTGACCCACGTCTATCGGGCCTCTCTACGTACAACCGCCGGGTCCTGGAGGACACATGATCACAACAGGACCCGCTTAGTACTCGAGAACGGATATGAGTCAAGAACTCTCACCGGAGGTCATTCTCTTTTCCGTATAAAGAGGAGAATATATGCGCTCGGTGAGGCCCCACTTAAGCTGAACCAAGCTGCACCGGGGTTGAAGCGGTAAGAGCTATCACACCTAATACACAGGTGTCACATGTTTCATTCTATCAAACAGAGGTGATCGAGCAAAACTCTCCGGTCCTTTCGGTCGAGACATAATCTCGGAAAGCGAGAACCAGAGAACGAGCGGACGAGAGAAAGTGAACTATTCATATATGTATATGTACTCATTATATATTCATTTTAAAATTAGTGTCAAATTAAAAATGAATCTACTATGACATTTGTCATCTTAAAAATCGCGGTGTGCAAGAAGATTATAATTTTAAGCAAAAGATACTAACTACACTTGCCAAAGAAAGCACGTATACAACCAGTTGTTATACCCCTTTGCCTTACGATTTGATTTCCAACTGTGCGTGCCAAAAGCGTCATCAAGGTTTGGCCCGGTAGACTTATCACTTCTCTGAGACGTCTTGTTCATGTTTGGCCCGGTAAACTCATCATGTCTCTGAAACATCATTAAGCTAAGGGGTTAAAAAGGAGGTTTTTAAACACTTAAAAATGACCTATCACCTAGCTTAAAAATAAAAATTCATGATATTGTATAGAAACAAATATAGTATACGATTGAAAACAATGTTACATTAATATATCCTGCAATATTATACATATCGAAGCAATCACATAAATTCGAAGAACAATGTAAAAGTGGAAACACGGAAAAGGAACATTCATAGTAACCAAATAAAATCAGATAGATAAATGAAGTTGAATTCACATCAAACAAACAAATAAAAATAATAAAATATAAATAAGTGGAGTGGACTTACTACTTGTTGTCAGTACATAGGGTAGTTACCAGTGGGTCAGCTGTAAAGTAAGAAAATATTCATATTATAGCAACGTCAGTTAGACAACCAAGGCAAAATCAGTTCAGTGAAGCGAAATTGGTATCAAACGATAGAATAAAGGAGGGGAGAGAATTTTTAAACAGTTCTTACCGTAGTCATCACCGTCCGGCACTGGTCAGTAGTGGTCAGCAGTGGTCAGTAGTGGCAGGAACGCGAGTCAGCACTGGTCAGTAGTGGTCAGTATTGGTCAGTATTGGTCAGTAGTGGTCAGCCATGGTCAGCGCTGGCCAGTAGTGGTCAGCAGCGGTCCCCGGTTCTCTTCTGGCCACTTGTACACTCCCGAATTCGCGACGAGACTGAAGAATTCTTCGCCGTGACCCTGCTTATCTGTCTAAGATGATGGAAGGGTGGGGAGACCAGTCAGAGCCCAAGTTAAAGTTAACAGTAAAGCCTGTCTTGTCTACAAAGGAATTATTTCGATTGGTCTCACCTCTTGACCATTTCTGGATCTTCACTGGACCGCTGACCTTGATGTTAACCTCACTGTTGACCACCAGTGACCATAAGCTAGTCATTGTTGATCATCGACCCATTAAAACCATTACGAAGATTAAAGCCTTCTTACGAGGATTCCCTTACAATTTGATGCATGATCTTTTTAACATTTTGTTCCTCTTTGGAAGAGTGTACCTCGTTAATTTTTGTCTTTTTGTACATCAGTTCGAACAATTGCCATACGTGAGCGAAAAATTCGGAGGTGTTTTTAGCATCCTCTTCTTATGGACGGCGGTCAGTTGGAAAACTATTCACTGAATTAGTATTAATAGGCAAACAGCTGTAGTTTTGCGTAAATTCATGTGAGTTGACTATGGAAGAGACTAAAAGTCATTTTACATCGACGAATTAAAATTTATATTCATATCTTAAGTCTAGAACACCACAAGCTGTATCAAAAATGGAATCGACGATTCATTTCCGAGACTTTCTACGCCAGAGAACTTGCTGCAATTCTCTAGGAATTTAAATTTAGAATCAAAGTGCAGTTTACTGTTCCAAATAACAATAACCGGATTAGATTTCCTTCTAATTGAGGATTCTCTGATGCTCCAATGCACGTGTAATCTTCCGGCCAACGAGATAGCCTCGTTAAGTTATCTTGTAACACTGCACTCGAACTAATGTCAATACGCGTTCTCTGATCGAATTTCAGTTAAATAGAAGGTCTCTGGCTATCCAAATCTGACTTCAGAAACTACATCGGAGTAAATGTGGAACTTTAATAGCTTAATAAAAAATATTTGTATAATATCCTGTTCCGCGTCGTAGAAAACTTTTTAAATAGCTAACGAGCACATTAGCTTAATAAACGGCATTAGACCGCGATGTCCATGAAGATACGGTAGCCTAAGAAAAATACAAGGTATCGCGAAAAGTGGAAAATTGATGTTGTTCGTAATCGCGGTGCTTGTTACTCCGTAATCAACTCGGAATAGACTATCAAAGGTCATTACTAAAAAATCATTGAATTTATCGTACAAGGGTAAATGGAAATTATTGTTTACCTTACTACGCAAATGGACAAGTAAACGACGACGTAATATTTCCTCGTCCCTGGAAATGAAAATTCGTCGCGAGGAAGTGTTTCCTCGAAAATTGAAAACGTTTGACATTGTCAGAAGTCGGGCGGGGGCTGATTGGACGCGTTAATATCGGGTCAGTGTGTCAGAACGAACGTTCCAGCGGGACGGGGTGAAATCGTGGCCCTTCATCGACACAAAGGAGCCACGGCCGTCTCCTGTAACGCGACGTTGCAGAGGGGTGAAAACTGGAGTAGAGGAGGGCTCTGGCAAGGACGGAAGAAGGGAAACGGGAGGCGAACAGGGTCTCTCGAGGGCTTGCAATCGAGTTTTCCACTGTCAGTGGCTGCTGGTAGTCGTCGACGAGGAAACAGCCCGACTACGAAGTCATTCAGACGCCCGAATAGCTTGGTCGAGACAACGTCGAAGGATTACGCTCCCACTGCCAGCATCAATTTTCCAAAAAAAAACGGCGTACATTGCTTTTTCCTCGGCCAACAGCGAAGGGAAGGACTTCCACGAATAAATAATACAAGACTTTGATTATTTCCACCTTCGTTAACCGTAAAAAAAGTTACTAGAGCAAATTTTCATCTTTCGTACAGCGGTGAAATTCGACACCTCCGAGAGGGATCTCCTCAATTGTAAGGGATAGAAACGTTCAATTTTCGAATCACGCGTTCACTTAAAGAATCATTGCTGTACTAACTTGTTGGTTGGGACGTTTGCGAGCTTCGAGGGAAAGTTGCAGAGCCAGACGCACGAGTGTCTATCAATTTGCGATTCGACGAGTAACGAAGAAATCCGACGTTTCCAGGGAGACGGATCGAGAGGAACGCGATCGAGGAGGAACGCTCGGTGAAATGATAAATTTTCCGGGAGGGCACTCGACCGCCGTCGAGACGAATCATCCGCGACGGGGAAGGGGAGGATGAAAGGAGACGTAATGGAGGAAGTTGGTTCTGAGTGCTCAATAATAAATAGCATTTTCGACTGTCGGATATTCAATTGTCGACTACGGTCTGGCTAAATAAAAAGGTAAAAAAAGAGGAACCGAGAGAATAGGGAAGCGCAGAGGAAGAGGGTTCCGACGGGGGTTTCGGTCGGTCGTTGTCTCCCACCGACTGCGAAACACCGTTTAAGGTAAAAGTAAACGCGAATTCGAGAGTCGACGGGATCGATCGTTGGCTCGGCGCCGACAAAGCGATCCAGCGGCGAAGTTTCCCCGATTCAATCGGCCGAAATTAACCCCCGGCCCTGTTCGCGCGTTCTATCGCGAAGGTCGCTAATTGTCGAGGCTTGCACAATGTCTCACGATTGACGGGTCGATACGAAGGGAATCGCTGCGTCGACGAGACCGTGCCTACTCGAAAGGAAAACGCTTGTTTCGGCAGCTTCTCTGTCGCATCGTATCCGTACAGCCTGAATTTTACGAATCACAGATATTTTCATTTACGTTTCCTTTATAAAAAGTATAAATATGGAAAACAATATTTTCACTCGCGACACGTTGCGTATAATTAACTATAATTATTATTGACCTTCAATAAACATTTTAATATATACATGCAATTTTTTTTAAATGGCGTGACTGAGACACAGATAACATATTCACGAGGAAACGTATAAAATGCTGATCGGCAAAATAGACCCATAGTTTCCGTACTCGAACTTCGACATTGTAAGATAACATGTTACGACAAGCGTTCATACTATTAGTGGTGTTCACGATAGTGTTCTCCCAGGGTAAGATCGTTTCTACACAATTTTTGGGTCTTTCGATCGTTCGAAAATGATCACGTTTATAGTAATATTCTTTCATTCGTAGAATGCGGACCGAACAAAGAATTTAATTCGTGCGGATCGGCGTGTCCACCCACTTGCGGACTTGATGACGTACGCATGTGTACTAAGGTATGTTTATTTCCAAAAATGCTATTTTTCTATCGTTAACTCTCAACATTGCTTAAAAGTATACATTTAATAAAGTTATTGTAAAGAAATGTTATAAGCAGGAATGTATATTTTCGTTCTCCAGCAATGTGTCGTTGGATGTCAGTGTCAATCCGGCTACAAGAAAAAAGGTAATGATTGCGTTCAGCCTAAGGACTGTTGACACCATTCTACCGAAGACTGGCCAGCAATGGCTGACGAACTTGGACATTGGAGCCAAATAAAAGTTTACGATCGATCAAGACTCGTGGCCAATTTTAAACATACCTGCATGGTGGCATTGTTTATCCGATTGCTTATTAAAAATTAAATTAATAATTGTGGCTTAAATGCGTATATTTTTATTCAACACCATTCGAAACTGTCCTATCCACGCACCTCCACAAAAACGAACGCTTTTCTCGGTACAAAATCAAACGAGAATTAGAACACTACTCGTTATTAGACATTTCAAGTTCAAAGAAATGACACTTGAATAATTGCAGATCGACCCTACAAACAGTATGTTGTATTCATCGACGATGCTTCAAATTTTTCGATATATCGAATATGAATCCGTCTCCTAAAAGCAATCGAGAAACCTTTGCAAAAAACCACACGAGCGCGAAAAATCTAATTTTTCAGAAGAAGGAAAACTCGTAAATGATTTTATAACTTTGACGCTTACATTTTTCTTCTACACACGCTTCTCGAAGCAATATTTTCACTCGCGACACGTTATGCTTGCGTTTATTACAACGACAAAATTGTTCCGCTTAAACCGCGAGTCCTTTTATCAGACGCTTTCGTAACGTTCGTGCGTTTGCATAGTTTAACCCGATGACATTGACCAGAAGTATTTGTGCATTGATAGATACGTTTTTCCAACTATAATTATTATTGCGCTTAGATAACCATTATAATATATACACGCAATTTTCTGAAAATGGCGCCGCTGAGACGCAGATAACGTGTTTGTGAGGAAACGTATAAAAGGCTGATCGGCAGGATAGACTCATAGATTCTGTATTCGGACATCGACATTGCAAAACAACATGTTACGAAAAGCTTTGATTCTATTAGTCGTGTTTACGATAGTGTCCTCCCAGGGTAAGATCGTTTCTACACAATTTTTGGGTCTTTCGATCGTTCGAAAATGATCACGTTTATAGTAATATTCCTTCGTTCGTAGAATGTGGACCGAACGAAGAATTTAATTCGTGCGGATCGGCGTGTCCACCCACTTGCGGACTTCCTAAGGATCGCATATGTACTTTGGTATGTTTATTTCTAGAAATACTATTTTCCTATCGTTGCTTAAAAGTATACACTTAATAAAGTTATTGCAAAGAAATGTAAGAAGCAGAAACCGTTAACATATTATCGTATATATTTTCATTCTCCAGCAATGTATCATTGGATGTCAGTGTAAACCGGGCTACATGGCTAAAGGTACTGAATGCGTACTACCTCAGGATTGTTGACACCATTCTACCGAAGACTGCCCAGCGATGACTGACGAACATGGACATTTATGTCAAGTGGAAGTTTACGATCGATCAAAACTCGTGGCGAATTTAAACATTCCTGCATAGTGACAGTGTTTATTCGACTGCTCCCTTAAAATTAAAATGCCAAATGTCGCTTAAGCATGTGTATTTTTATTCGAAACTCTCCTATCCACGCACCTCCGGCAGAAACAAACGCTTTTCTCGATACAAAATCTAACGAGTAAAATTAGAACACTGTTCGTTGTTAGAAATGTGAACCAAGTCCAAAAAAAATGCAATCGAAGGATCTTTGCAGAGAGCAACGCGTGTGCCAAGAATTTAAGTTTTCAACCGAATGAAAAATCATAGATAATTTTCTAACTTTTACGCTTACATTTTTTCCTACAAACGTTTCGTGATCGTCAACGTAAGACTAACTAGGAGAGTAGTCGAAGAACCAAAGCGAAAGCACAGATCGTTCAAGAAGGTCGACGACGAAATGAACGGGGATTGTTGAACAGAAACGTCCGAGTAACTTCCTCGTTCGTATCGTGAGGGTGGGAAGGGGAACGAGATAAAGCTAGAAGGAGAGACATGGCAAAAGACAAAGATCAATGAGAAGAAGAGGCAAGATGTAGGATATGTTGGACAGTGTTTCGTAACACCACTATATAAAGCCGAGTAGTTTCTACAAGTTTTAGTGTCAATCGTAAGCTTCTCAGGAAATAGACCTGCAATGTCTCGAATCGTTCTTGTTCTACTCGTCGCCCTGGCAGTATTCTCTGCTAGTAAGTAAAAGACCCCCTCTAAAACTGATAGTCAGGACTCTGGTAGCTCGAGGATAGATTATAAAGAATATACTTTCACGAGGAACTCAATAATACAGAAATTATTAGATAGAAATGATAAGTCGAGATAAAATAATAATCTGCTGCGAACTGCTCCGAAATGTATAAACCCTTTTGGTCTGGGTTTGCTTACGACTAGTATTTTTTAAGTAGTCATCGATAAATTGTAAAAATACAATGCAAAATACTGTGATAAATATACACTGTGGTTCTTCCAATCGAAGAATATTCTGTAATCTGCCCTCGAACATTGACGTCGAGTGTTAGCCTAATAGGAAATACAGTGAAGGATAAAGCGACTTTTGGCTCGTTTCAAGGTACTTCCGGTCAACAGTGCGGTGTGAACGAAGAATTCAAGAGCTGTGGATCGCAATGTGAACCTTCGTGCGCCCAACCCAAGATTGATTTCTGCACATTCGTTAGTATTGGAATTTCATTTTTATTCTACACAAAAAAATGCAACCTTGGCACTGAAATAAGTAAACTAAACACCTACGAGCTCTCGAAAATACTAGAAACGAACGGGTTAACGCGTTTCTTTCACAAAAGATTTTCGTTGGCAAATTGACAATTTCAATTTTACATTTCATCTTCGATTTCTTTATTTTTCTCTTTAGAACTGTAAGATCGGCTGTCAGTGCAAGGATGGATTCTTGAGAAACGACGCGGGAGCGTGTGTCTCTCCTGAAAGTTGTTAATACCGTCACCGAAGGCACGAAAAAATGTTTCTAACAATTTTTCTGGATGTTATTTCTCTATTCTTCGCTATTATCGTCCGATGTTGTTTTTGCTGAATCAAGATTCAAAATGAAATGTAAGAAAATATAAATAAACAATTGTTAACTTAAACTGCACTGTAATTTCTGTTCCATTGTTTCCCAATGTTCTCTTTCCTGAATTTTTAACTTGAGAAATTATAATGGGACTCTGGTTCAGTTCCTGTATAATAATCATTATTTTGTAACTTTCTTTTAAACCCAGTGTTCTAAAGATACTGTTAACGTTACTCCAAGTCACCGAATACATTAAATGTATTTCTTTTTCCTAGTTATAACAAACTTTGTACTTATTTTTGTACTATATATCGCTAGCTACCCGCGTGGATTGTTTATAGAATGCTCTTAATTAGTCGAATTATCGTTAATTTAATACTGGATCACTAATTCGATTAGCAGTCGTGGTTATGTTTGTAATAAACGTACGACTGTAGATGCACTATCGTGAAGATTCATCTCGTATAGATTGCAAACAAATATTTTGTAGTGGCTCTTATAGACTCTACACCTTCAAACCTATTAAAAACATTTCTCACAAAATTAATCTTCATTTCATAATTCAAGGTTAATTTTTTTTTTAATCGTATCTTATTGTTTATTAAGAGAACTAGTCGCTCTCAATGAGTCTTATCTGTTAAATCTTTTTACATTGTTTATCTTCTATATCTTGCTAGAGCTGATATACAGAGTGAAAACATTGAAGATATATTTCTGTGGCCAGTATCAACAACTGCTTCTTAATATATACTTCTTCTTAATTGTTTAACAGGCCCACAAGCTATTACATAATTTCTAAATTAAGTGAGTTATCACTTTTACCTAAAATTCTATTGATTTTAATTGTTTAAAAATAACATACATGAACTATCATTTTTCCTAAGACTGTATACAAAGTTTGTAATCTAAAAAACATTGTATCGTGGAAAACATGGTTGCTTAAGATTAAGTTGATAGATTGCTTTACAGTAATTACAATTCGTAATCTTTGTGTTCTTGGCAATCTTTATCGAAGCTCTGTTATTACTGTTATTAACGGGGGGTTATTTTAGTAAAATTGAAATAAATGAAACAAATAGCAATAATCATCGATCCAGAGCTCGAAGCAAATTGCATAAGCTGCGGAAACGATCGGCTAGCGTCATCCAAAGCAAATATCGTGATCAATTACACGTAACATATTTATTTAAAATGTTCAGCTGTTCAAATGCAACTGATACGTGAAGCGAAATTTAACAAATTTTTGTGAACAAAGGAAATTATATTATAAACTATCATTTGGACACGGAACACGAGGAACCATAACAACAAGAATATTAAAGCTGTAATATTAAAAAGCATAATTGATCGTATAGAATGACGAATCCGAACATAGGTGTCGGTTAGTTTAAACAATGATCGCATACGTCAGACATGAATTATGCTCTCTTTAAGCAAGCAAAAGCGTTCGGTATAAAAAGGGGAATCGGGGGAAAAAATTTTCATTAGTGTCGTGGTGTAACATAGTGTAACAACAGGATTTAGAAGTGGAACACAATGAAACCGATTACCGTGGCAATTTTCATCGCGCTGATTTATACAGTTGCATGTAAGAACCATCACTTTTACGACGTATTACTTTTCTCTGATTTCCGGGATTTATGTAACATTTGTACTTTCACTATAAAGAAGAATACAATGATCATTGTTTTGCATCATTACTTCTAACTAATTTGAGTCATGTAAAAGATTATTCTATCTTTGAGCAAAAGCAGTTCGACCCTCAGTATGATGTAATGTTATACTTACAGACATACCCGATAGGGCTCTCGCTGCATCCAAAGATGATGACTCCGATTCAGCTGAGACTACTACTCCTAAACCTACAACTACCACTCCGAAACCCACCACCACCCCTGCTCCCACAACTACCCCTGCTCCCACGACTACCCCTGCTCCCACGACCACCCCTGCTCCTACCACCACCCCTGCCCCTACTACCACTACTCCCAAACCCACTACTACCCCTGCGCCCACCACTACTCCAAAACCCACTACGACAACTGCTAAACCCACCACTACCACACCCAAACCCACTACTACTCCCAAGCCAACCACGACCGCCAAACCAACCACAACCACCAAAGCCCGTAAGTGTGCCAACATGAACGAAAAATAATCTCTGTCCTCGACACACAGCTATCCGTGGAAAATACTTCCAATAGTTAATAACGAAGCTCTATAATATTATATTCAAGAATCGGAGCATCTCTCCAAAATATAGATAGATCATTTGTGTTGTTAAAAGAAAGACTACAAAGGTATAAAAGAAGATTTAGTACGAATCGTTCGAACTATACATATACTGAGTTTGATTTTGACTCATCATATGAAGTAAATAAATTTTTACAAATTACAATTATATACAGCACGTCCCAAGTGTGGCCGCCACGAGCATCGTACTAAATGCGTCGAGTGCCAACTTACGTGCGACGACCCCATCCCCAAACCCTGCAAGAAGGCGTCGGAGGTAACAATAAGATTTTATTTTAAATATCAATGATAATGACTAAATTATACTGTAGAAAATTCATTAATCCTGGCTACTTTTATGTCGATAGTGCACCAAAGGTTGCGCGTGTGACGCGGGTTACCTGAGAAACAGCGATGGCAAGTGTGTGCACTACCTATCTTGCAAGCCCAAAAAGGGTGAGTAGTTCGAATCTTTCCAATCTTTTAAGCGAAAGGAATATTTACAACACGCTGCAATTTGTTTTACAGGAGGCAAGTCATGAACACGCCGCGCATAGAAGACGGTCAAAGCTATACGCGAGCGATGATCGAATCTACATAAAGGAACGAAGAAAACAATACTTTTAGAATAATTTCGAGGCGTGTTTGTATAACGAAAATAAAAATAAACATCTGTACACTGTGCAGCACGTAAATATTTATATCTGTGTGCCATCAATTAAACGCGGTCAATTACATTTATTTCAGAGAATCCGCGTGTCAAAGTGCACGACCTATACGGTCAGATTGGATCTCGTTGTGTCCCAAATATAAGTCGACGACGGTATTATCGCGCGATGGTTATTCCTTATACACGTAACCGCGTAAAACGACTTTTTTTCGAAAAATATTTACTATCGTCGAAACTCGCGGGAAAATTTCCACGCGAGTAGCAACGGTTAGATCGAGATCCCCGATAATTTGATCGAATCACCGTCGAATTTACCAATTATCGAATGGAGCTGATTGATTTCCTGGCAGGAAACAACAAATATTATTAGAAGCATCGGAGATGGACAAAATATTGTTGGCCACCAACGGAATTCTCAGAAATCTGATTAACTCGATCGTAACTCTGACTCTTTTCAGAACGCAGTAAGTTCGCCATTTTTTCGGTAGACAAACTCTAATTTTTATTCTTTTAAGTATCCGTGCAGAATTTCTCCCGTTTACATTTTTTCGAAAGTTCCTCGATTCCCTCGAAGCTGTTGACACAATTTTGGACCCAACTATTCGCGTATTATGAAATCTCAATTAGAGGAATAAATACCGATCGCTACCCGTCCGGTGTTATTTGCGCAAATACTCTCGCGCTTCCAAGAATATCTTAGTGCAATCCAAACAATGCAAAGTCAACCGAGCAACGAACACAAGGACACTTTTATTAATAATTGCTAGCGTTCGCTCAACTATCCAAGACGAAAGCTTTGTGTTTAAACATTCAGAATATTACAACAACTTTAAACGAATCATCAATTTGCTCGATAAATCACGAATAATTTTTAAATTCTTTCGAAAAAGTCAGTATGTTTGTGTCTTTTTGGAAACGCGATTACACGGTAAACAATTCGGCTGACAAAATCGCCATAACTTCGTTTCACTTCGACTAATTAACGATATTTTCCGTCGATGTTCGTGAAAACATCTCGAAATATAACGAAAACCGTTGACGTAATTATTTTAAAAAGACAATGGACAGAGATTAATTGCGAAGGCGTGACGTGAAATCAGAAACGCAGTCGTGTATTGGCGATCGGATAAAATCGTATGGGAACGAACTAGTATTGTTATTAAATATAAAAAATTGCTTTTCGATCTAACCTTAATATCTCGTGGGTGTTAGGATTCTGATCTTTGTTTTCGACGAAATCGTACGTGCGTCAGAGGAGGCCTCGTACAGCACGAACGGAGAATGCAAAATAGGTCGCTAGATACGCGAAATGTGTTAACGAGTTCGACGAGGTCGTCGAATAATCTTGGAAAAATTCAGCCTTTGTGTATACCTGTTAAACATCTCCTACACTCGTCACCCTTTGGAATAAATTTAGCATCAACTGCTCGCAATACTATCATTGTTTACTGTAATTAAAAATTTTGGCCTTGTAAAAAATTCGACAGTCATAAAATTGTAAAATATATCTGGAAAGTAACAATTCTGTTTGTGGAGGTCCATCAGAAGACTCGATTCCACAAAATTAAAAGCAGACAAAATTGGTGGTATTTTAAGGAATGATTTAAGAAATTTTGTTTGCTGTTATGAAAACAATGCGAAGTAAGAGTCGAGGGGTCCGCGAGCAGGTGAATTTTGAGGAACAGTGATACAAAGATTGCAGTATCGGATAATGGCTACTCTTTATCCGCAAGACGTACGATAACATAAAGTAGAGTTGAAGTTACACCAGCTGAAGATATCGTCTCAGATAATCTACAGACAACGCTAATCGGGTGAATAAGCGAGACGAAATCACGAAATGGAAGTGGTAAAAATTCAAGAAAGCAAAGGCGAAACAAGGCGCGATGGTCTAGAGACAGATACGTATAAAAGCTGATGAACGCCGAGAAATATCGTCACTTGTTCCATACAAATCATTCTGCTACCATGTCGCGTGCTATAGTTCTTTTTTTGGTCGTCGTGGCTGTCGCCTACACTAGTGAGTAATCGGATATTTCCTCAAAGTCCTCGTCAATCATTAATTTCCATAAAATTCTACACACAGATTTGACATATAAGTGCTCTTTTTAGACTGTTTTGTAGACGTCTTAAACATTATATTCAATCTTCGTTCAACGTTTACTCATTGATATTAATTTTAAACATGTTCCACTATTAAAATAAAATATTTATATATCATTTATCGAGACTTTGGGGAACGAGAAAATTAATTGTGAACCTTATGGATTCCTATAATTTGTGAATTTGTTTGCAGTGGCGCTTCCTCAGGAACACGCAGCCTCCCAGGAGTGCGGACCTAACGAAGAATTCAATGCTTGCGGATCGCCGTGCGTGTCCACTTGCGAGAAACGTGCATCGCCGATTTGCACACTGGTCAGTGTTTGTTTGTAACAATTTAACGCAAACCTGTCGGGACGTTTGATCGATCGAACCGTATCGGGAACAAACGTCTAATCTCGAATTCTTTGTTTCAGAGATGTGAAATCGGCTGTCAATGTAAACCAGGATTCGTGAGAAACAGGGAGAACAAGTGTGTCCTCACTCGTGACTGTTAAGCACTGAAAAATCATCATCGAGAACGGAATATTCATTAATAAACTCATAATCGTTACGCGCCGTAGAACCCCGATGTTCTATCCAGCGTAACTCAATAATCTTTATCATTCAATAACAACTGTTGTATACTTTTGTCAAAGTTGTGTACCGATGCATTCGTTGTTGAAAGTTTGTACACAATTGCGTTATGTTTCTCTAAGGAATTAAACAGATTTTATTACTCGTACATTGATCGTTATTATTACCACTCGCTAGAATTTTAATTCCACTTTCGAAGAAACTTGGACGTTTTGAGAAGATAGACTTGCGGCGTGTCTAATATTTGTATTTGCGCTACAATTTGAAAAATCGAGGATATCCCTAAACGGAGAAAACTGGCGCGGCGGTTAACGCGTTAAGAGCCGTAAAATTTTATGTAGGATAAGTTTGGATAGTTTTAGAGATCTTAAAAATATTGCCCGCGTTGCTCGAGCAAACGCGGATCCAACTTTACGAGATGATCCCTTAATGCATCTGTGTCCAACTCGACTTTACGACCTCTATCCGCTTTATCTTCAAGACTAAAGTCCCCATTTCGAAACCGATCGCACCATACTTCGTATTTCCATGTATCAACCGTTTTATCGTACGCTTCACATATTTCGTTGGCAGTTTAATTCACATTGTAAGATGATATTCACACCGTGATACATCGATCATAAAAATTTAACCGTAGGGGCATACTATTCTCGTATCGGTTCGAACTTATTATCCAAATTTGCGAAATGTGATTCCACGGTTTTTTTCCTGGAATTAAATATCAAACCAGAACCTAATCAATCGCCTCCGATATTGCTGCGATTATTGAAGCAGATAAAATGCTCGATTGAATCGAAAAAGATTAGATATTGCCTCAAGTTTGCTAGTATTAAAAAGAACTTTAGAAATAAGTATTTATTACATAACTACCAACAGCTGGTGACAGAAATAAGGGTAGCGCATTTCGTTAATTAATTCCAAATATACAAATACTTCGTGGTTCCCCAAATTTACGAGAACAATGTATTTACACCTAAGTAAACACTTTTTAAAGAGACGTTGAGTTATCGGTTCTACACGTTTGCCTTTCAGTTAGATAAGTTAAAATGATTCATTAATAACACTGCCAACGATAAGATTTAAACGGCTCGTTCACGGTACGATTTTCCGTACGAGAAACCGCGATGATGATAATAATACTTCGTCATTTCGAACTTTGAAATATTAAGACATCAGAATCCGAAATTCGAGATAAAAAGAAATGCATTGTTTGCATATTCCTGTATTTAACAAAATAATAAACACGAAATGAAATTATTATTATAAAAGTAGTTGGAAAAGTGAAACTTTTGGAGGGAGCAATAGCGATTATAAATTACAACGGATGGATAAATGCCTAAATTCAATTTATTCTTCAACTTAAAAGTTATATTAATTCCCCTGAAAAGTAAATGTAGCAAGCAATGGCGACATCGTTCCACTTAACAATTTTTGGGCAGGACACACTTGTTGTGGGAATTCCTCATGTATCCGCTTTTACATTGACACCGTGGACCCTTGCACATCTAAAACGAGTCAAATAAAAATTCGTCGTTCGAATTTCCCCTACCGATCATGTTCAGAATTTCTCTTAAAAGTTACACCTCAATAAAAATACACTGTCACTAACCTCGATACAGTCAACCTGCGTTTTCTGCCCACACTTGGGCTCGCATTCGCTCGAACATGATTTCATTATCTCGTTGGCAGGGCACGATGCGTTGCTCACTGAGTAAACGTGAAAATAATTAATTCGAGCAAAAATTATGCCCCGAGAACGAAACGCAACGTTTTAAAAATGGAACAACTTGTATTTAACAAATCGATGATACCAAACTATCGAACGATACAATAACCAATAGCAGAAATGAGCAAAATTGTATTTTACTTTGTTTTATATCTAAGGTTTTATTCGTTCAAATTTTGCACGTTTCTGGCTACAAAGTACTCACAGCTAACGTAAGCAACGACGACGAGGAGAAGAAGAATAACGGTGCGAGACATCTTCGGGTAGCTTTCGGATTACCGTAGCTTCAGAAGTAACTGTACAATCCTCAAATCGAGACTAATGGAGATCCACAACGTAGGCTAGTTTTTATACAAAATTTTCCGACCTTCCCAATTTATCACCGTCGTTTGTTACACTGTATCGGAGTGGAGTATGATTTATCATCAACTTTTATCATCGATACTAATTTTTGCGTGACCGTAAAGTTTCGAAATTGATATTCTTCGGTCGCGTTGTCTTCGTTCCATCGAAACAGCGAGCCCGTTCCGGAACAAGTACATTTATCAAGGAGGATGGTGATAAATTATCGAGTCGCGGGTTAATGTTGCGTAAAGTAGGTTCTGTACGCGGCAGCTTGTCTATTCGGCATTACTCGCGTGTGCACACCGGACCGAACGAACGCCCCAGGTTTAATCGCTATCGCATCGAATCTCTGCAAACCGTGACTTTTCTCGCGTAACTAACGCTTCGAGCAAACAAGCCGGCCGCGGCGAATCGCGAAACGCCCGCATAAATTACCGATTCTCCTGGATTACCGGCTAACCGTGCAAAACGAGAACTAGCTGGAAGGAGATATCCGCTGGTCCAATTAACCACTCAACGAACGATATTCCTCCGCTTCACAAAAATGATCTACCTTTTCCACGGCCTAACAGAGCGCCCAGGATCTCGCTAACGAGGATATTTCTACTCCGAGCTGCGCCCAAAGGATTTTTTAAATTAATCTCAATGTATCGAGCAAATGAAACAATTGTTCGATCCGTTTTTCCAGTTTCTATTTCTTCCAATTTACGCGTTGGTTAAATATTGAAGCCTCGAGCGACGCACGGGGGAAAAGATTAACAATGCTCGACGCGGGTGAAAATTGTCGACCCATATAAACAGCGGCGAGGCGAAATCCGTTGTTTCCAATCGTTTCCGCCCCTCGAGTTTTCACTTTCCCGACAAAGCAATACGACGAGCCGAAACAAAATGTGCCGGCTCGCGAGGGAAAACGCGCGACAGACACGATCCGCGGCACGTGCGACCGGTTTCATCAGCGACGTTTTCAGCCGTTCTCGAGGACCCTCGGGGAGAACTGAATCGTCAGTTTTACAGAAAGGGAGCATACGGGTATGGGTGGCGAACTAGCGAAATTCATGGCATATTTCACCGACACCAAGAGTCTCCCGATCTGCTTCAATATGTTTCGCAAGCCTGAACTCGACGAATGTTTTCGAAAACGCATCGTTTCGTTCGGAAGAGAGACAATCGATAGTTTAAAAGGTTTTGGACGCATATAGGTTCGCCACGACGAGACCAAAACGTACAATGCTCCATCGCGATATAAAGTATCCTTGCCCCTAACGGTCCATTTACGGTCGAAAATTTAGTCCACGGAGGGCGTATAAAGTCTAAACGAGCGAACCACCGTCGTGGGATACAATTTATGGAAATCGAAGCCCTCCATAACGGAGGCTTTGCGAATCTTTCGTCCGTTTTGCGTCTAGACCAGGCCATTCTCAGCTCGTCGATCGTCTATTTTCTTCTAGATCCAATTTAGAAACATTTTACACTTTGATAAAATAGTTTTTCATACTCTGTAGAAGCAGGTTGAGCAGCGCTGATTAGTAATAGGTGACTGTCTACAACGCATCTCGACGATCTCTGAACTCTCTTATCTGGGTTCAAGTTAAAATTTGTCGATTAAGCTAATCTGCATCGTCGATCGACGGAAAACAAGTCGATGATCAGCGACGACTTGATTACTCGCGTTGGGATAATTACTGCGACGATGCTGCATCCAACCGAAAATAAGATAGTGATTTAGGAAACGATCGGAGACCGGATTCTTCGAGACATCTAGAACCGCGTGCAATCAAAAGCTGAGCGTTTCTTTGCTTTAATCGCCGAACACTCTCGTCCAATTGCCTCCGATCGTGTTTAATTGGTGTGAGACCGCTTAATCGGCGAACGATGCTCGCCTGATCGAAGGCAACCCATCGAACGGGAAAGCGAAACGTTCTACGTCGTCGAGGATTCGTGATGTTGTTGCGTTTACATATTATGAAATTATATACATTTAAAAAGGACATTGTTTTGTTCAACTTTTTGTCCTCCACTGCTCTTCGTTTAACGTTCACTCTTTAATAATATTGTATTAAATCAAACAAGAGACTGGGAAAAACGTTTTAATAGTAGAGAAACGGCAGATGAATTTAAAACACAGTCGATAAGAGAGAACTTGGCGATTCTAGATACGGATAAATAAATTGGAGGGAAGTAAATTAAATAAACAGATAGGAGACTTTGAGGCAAGGCCTCCGCAAACAAGGCAGCAAGGATGAAAAATCCGCATCTGCCGTATATTCAGCCAGCCAGAACGTTGGAACAGAGAAGTAATGTAGTCGAATTTACGAGAACAGTAAGAATAACGAAGACATAAATTTTCGATACACTGAACGAGTGAGGTTGGTCGAGAAGAAACACGGCGACCATAAACTACAATAATCGCTATAATCAAACAAGGAAACCACTAAAGATCGAGAATGCATGAATCTAGGAGCAAGTTGACGAAGGATATTGAAACGCAGAATCGTTGTCAAAATACTACGACGATTTTTATAAAAATTCTCTCGTCGATTAATTAAGATTACAAGCCTCTACCACTGTTCAATTAAATTTTGACCGATACGAAGAAATTGATTCGTTCTGCGTCGAACGATCGATGGTAGATGCACGTTGCATTGTAATCACGGTAAACAAACGTTTAATGTATTCTGCAATAAACTTTCTAAACGACTTCGTTCGACGATAAGATAATCGCGTGGATTAAGAGTGCCGGGGCATAAATCCATACGAGTTCGAGATACGTATGCTAATTCGTCGTAAAAAGAGGACAGAAAACGAGGGAAGCATGGCGGACAAAAAGTACGAGATCGTTCGATCCGTTTCATCGACGCTCGTAGCGTCATTCGCTTGTCGGTTATTGCGATTCGGACAAAATTTATTCCATCCACTCCGTCCCTCCCCCACCTTCTATCGTTCGCTATGCTATTTCTTCCGATTAGACGGATTAAAAATAGCCGTGTAATCTTGCAGAGAGACACAGATCGTTAGCTAGATATCGTCGACGGTTTTATCGGCGCCGTAACCATTAAATTCCGCAATGAAATTGGATCGTGACTGCAGTCGCGAACCCATGAATTTATATCTCAATTAAAACATGGCCCAGCTCGTCGTTGTTACTCATTGTTCAATTTCGTTGTTTTCTAGGAGTATCGAGCCTCGATTCTCGCGAACGATTCGAAAACTGTCGCGGGAGACATCGAAGATTTTCATTTATGAAATCAAACTGAATTGTTGAAATTGCCTTTAAGTTGCTTGTCATCGTTAACGATAAGTTACACGTGTAATCCGTAATCGGAAATCAGTAATTTGTAACCATTTCGTGAAAGGATACTTCAGCTTTTATTGTTAATTACATCGATTCGATCGTAAGCAGAAAATCGTATAGTCACGCGATTTACGATTAAGCATGACTATTGAGATTATTCGTGAATCACAGTTTCCGAGTAGTCGATGCCCATATGGTAATCGTACGGACGGAACTCGCGACAGGATCGATTCCATCGCTATCCAGCTTCTGTCGTGCAACGGGAAGAACGGACAAGCGGACGGGAAACGATCCCTCCTTCGAGACGATTTACCGCGGAAAAAAGACCGGTTGGTCGAAGGCTGTAGCGACGCGCTGCGGGACAGATTCCTGTCCATTACGAAGATTGCGCTCGTTCCCGCGGACGTAACGCGCCGAAATCTCGGCGGACACGGTCGATACGGAAAATTACAGGACACGGAGTACGCCGTCCGGGGACGCGCGGCGTCGCCGCCGCGGTAAAAGCTTTTACGAGCACCCATTGGAAATTAATCCAAAGCGACGAGGATCGTGATCGCCGGAAGCACGAACAGATGCGAGCGTTCCAACCGTGCTCGGTACTGCCTCGCTGCTTGCATCAATCTGGGTTACGGATACTTGCAACGAACCTAACACCTCCCTAAATGCACTCTACTGGCTGGTATCCGTGCAATTAAAAACCTATTCAAGCGTCTTGTTTGAAATAGACTAGTTTCAAGAAGAGTGTTAATGTTTCGTCACATGCAATTTTGGTGGTCTGATTTTTTTGCAAGAAGAGAGGTATGCATGTTTACCGTGTTAAAGGACCAACTATTAGGAACTGGGCAAATTGTATTCACGAAAATCTTTGATTCTTGATACATGTGTTTTTGCAAGATTACATATTTTATCGATGTGATCGATACGTTTTAGAGTTAAGACGAGTAAACAGTGTTACCAGAATGTTATTAATGAAAGGTGTGACACTCGAAGCGTTGAAAGAGTGCGACTGATAATCGTACCTGTGCGATAGGAGTGGAATATCAGGGACGCCTGTTTATGGTTGCCACGGAAACACTCGTGCAAATGTCTGCATCGCGAAAGGGGACCCTCTCGCGTGTACGGCTACAACGATTCCGCGGACCCTGGACGTGCCGGGGTACGATTTTCGCTGGCTTTGAACGAAACGAGCATTTGGGAAATTGGTTTTCCCGGAACCACGGAAATATCGCCGAAAAGTCGACGATCTGGGATACTTCCTTTCGAAACTTCATCGACGCTTACTGCGTGTATATTTCTACGCTATGAATTTACGAAAAATTACTCGGTGCCGTGTTTTCAGGTGTTTTGTTTCCAAAGAGACGAGAGCGACATCGGGAAAACGTGAAACCAACGAGATCGAAATTCCACGATAACCACGATGGGAAGTCGACCATTCCCCTTTTTAAGCAATACTACACCGATGGCTCGTACCAGAGAACAAGCGTACCACCTGCGGTGGACGAGTGCGAGCCAAATTTCAAGGCACCTATTTATGGTTGCCAAGGAAACATGTACGAGGACGATGTTACGAGGGTAAAGCGAAAACCCCTTTCGCGCGTCCAGCAAGGACGATAACTGTCGCCGTATTTTCCAGGTCGTACACGGGATTAGGGATGGAGGGATAGAACGATCGGTGCAGATAATACGCGTATAGCAAATTTCGCGGCACGGTCGTTCGTGCTCG